ATATTTGATTTGCATATTTATCTATGAGGGAATATTCTTTTATTGACAAGAAATAGTCGAGTTAGCTTTCCCGATGGAGGATTACTAATTTTGATATTTCTTTTCGAGTTAAAGAATTTTATGTAATTAATTTAATTCGAAGCAAATTAATCAATGTTCGATAAATGGATCACAATTTAATTTTATATTCGATTCATCATTTCCACCATTTACGACAACGCGTAAGCGATCAAGTACCAACTTTTGGGCACTGTGGGGTGCAAGTCCTTCCCCACGCGTAATCGACTCCCGAACCTATTTTAATCAAATCTTTGTAAACGCAGACCGGGTTTTTATTTTAAAAACGATTTTTCTTAAAATTGTTTTTTAAAAACGTTTTTAGGTATTCGACCTACCTAACCTAAAGGTCGATGGCGACTCTCATTCGATTTAATCCCAGTTAATCCAAAATCACCCATTTTCCAAAATAAAAGTCATAATTATTTTTAAAAATAATATTTAATTGTTTTACCTAAAAATGTTTATTACAATATGAATTTTCATTGTTGTTTGTTTGCTTTTGGGGAGTGAAGGGCGGTGTATTCTTGAGTAAGACTGGATATTGCGCAGATCATTCTTCCTCATGGTTGGGTGGTTTTCTCTTTGATGTTGGTGATCTATTCTTGTCCTTTGTTTTGTTGGTTTACTTCTCTTGTCACATATTGGTGATTCTCATTTTTTTCAGGAGAGAAAGTTTGTTGGGGAGTGGTCTTTTTTGTTAGGTGTTTTTTTTCCTCTTTGTTGATAATAGTGTTTGATTTCCATTTCAGTAGATAGAAGAGTGTTTTAAAAAGTTCACTTGTTTTTGCAATCATGGTGATTTTCGGTTACAAGGTGGGTAGTTTGCAGGGGATGTTTCATTTTGGTGGGGGTTATTTGGTTTCGTGTTGTCCTTGTATTTTCGGATAAGATGTACTATTTTCCTTCATTTAGGTTTAGGGAGGTTTTTAGCATTCTACTTTGGCTTTTGTTTATGATTTCTCTAATAAAATCATATTTACCGAGAAATAAAAAACATAGTTTAGTAGTAAAGATTGAAATATAACATAACTGAGTTATAAGTTTTATATTTAGTAGTAAACATGTTTTCCTTCAATATATCCATTAATTGAACCGTTTTCTTACTAAAATTGTTGTTTGTTTATTACAGATATCATGCACATGAGAAAATTAAGTGATTTGCGGATTGTTCGAGCTTCTCAAGAGGAGGAGCAAACAAATAATGAGGAATCGACTGTTGTTGACTCTTCAGAAGTTCCTATTACTGTTGAAGAAGCTGTAGAAATTGAAGGTAGTGTTCGACACTTTCTTTAATTGTTGGTTTATTTTTGAGAACTTACATTTCATTATTTCTTATATATTTGAAAATGGCCGAACACACAAGACTAGAGGATGTACAACGTTGAAGGAATTATACCAACTTCCTCTTGGGCATTGTGTGAAAGTTTAAAGAAATGATGTCGGTCAACCTGTTGGCTCAAAAGCACGTCTTCTATCCGAATACTTAGGCATGGTTGCACGTAATGCTAATATTTTACTGATCAATTATGAGTCATGGCGTGAAATGCCAAATAGTAACAAAAATCAGGCTTTGGATTTTGTTAAGGTAATAATGTCATTATAATAGACAATCTATAACAGTTCAATAGTAATTTATACTTACTTTGAACACTTATGTTATTTGTAGGAGAAATTTTCTTTAGAGGTCTCAGACGATTATTTGAAGCAAGCGTTAGGGAAGAGATGGAAAGACCACAAGAGTTCATTAAAAAAAGAAATACTTCAAGAATGATCTCAGTCTTGAAAAGAAGCTACAAACTGTCCCACCTGGAATGCTCAGGTATCAATGGGAAGATGCAATCAGATTTTGGAGTTCAAAGAGAGAACATGTATGATATTTTTCAAAAATAATCTAATGACATTATAATATTGACTTTATAAGTAAATAATTCAAATTTTAGGATCGGGAGCATGTTGATGTTAGTAGTAGAAAACAACAAAAGTTTACTCACACAGCTGGATCGAAGAGCTTTACTTGTATAGCTAATGATGAAGTATTATTGATTATTCACACAATGATTTACAATTGGTAGCACATACTAACGAAAATTAATTATATTATTAATTAATTTTTTGCAAGACTTAATTTTTATTCTACATTGTAGAAGAATACGTTGGTTGTAACGTTGGACGAATAAAGAACTTCGACATGACATATACGAAAAAGGATGACACTCCTATGACTGATGAAGCTGCATAAATTATGGTACATTTATTGGACACAAGATTTGAATTATGTTATATTTATATCTATAGTATGCCATTCTTATTTAAAATAATTATTGAATTGATTATTAGGAAATTTGAGGGATAAAAGGGCGGAGTATGAAGCTACGACTTCAAATCATGGTATTGTTAATGCGGATGACATCGAAAATCAAGTTATTAATGAAGTTTTGGGTCCTGAAAGATATGGTCGGGTTCGCTGTCAAGGATTATTCTTTAGTCCCACCAAATATTTTGGATCCAATTCATCTCAATATATGTCATCACAGAGTCAGTCTTCCCAATTAGAAGTTAGTCGTTTAAAACAACAGTTGGTTGAAATGGATAAAAAAAGGCTAACATGAAAGCTGAAAATGAAGGGGAGGGGAACAGAAGCAAGAATTTGAAAATTGACTTGAAGCTATGATGCAGATGATATGAAAAAATCAACCTCAAAGTCCATCATCTTGGGTCTTATTTTAGATATATGTTTTGTTCATTCTAGTTAACAATGTTGAACTGCATTATATTTTACGTTAATGGTAAAGTTGATTTATTATAATGGATTTAAAGTTGGTTGTTATGGATGTTATGATTATTGGATAATGCTACAGGTTAAAAGTTTAAATTTGGGTAACACAAGAGTTGGAACACCCTTGACAAAATATGTGTTAATTAGTGGCGTTTGTGTAACAAACGTCACTAAATACATAATCAATACCGACGTTTTAGAAAAAAAAATACCACTAAAGTTCTAGATCATTGCGCGTTTATAAAAAACTTCACTTTAGACATAGTCAATAACAGCATTTTAATTTACAAACGCTGTTATATATCACAACTTTTACCGATGTTTTTAGGAACAAACGCAACTATATGTCATAACATTTAGCGGCGGTGTTTTACAAATGCCACAAAAGAAAAAGATATATAGCGGTGTTTTTCAACAACACCGCTAAATATCATAACCTTCAGCGGTGTTTATGGAAACAACACCGCTAAAACTTGTAAACTTTAGCAGCGTTTGTAGACGAAAAACGCCGCTACCTTTTGCAGTGTTGGTTTTAGCGGTGCTTTTTGCAGCCTTTTTTCTCACCAAAATGGTTTTTAGCGGCCTTTTTTTTGTCAAAATGGTTTTTAGCAGCGCTTTAAAATGTATTATATGACCGAAAAATGCTACTAAAAACCTATCTTGTTGTAGTGAATGGAACTCATGACCTTATACAAAATTATTTTATTTCTAAAAGTCTTAGGAAAATTTTAGAAGGCCATTAGTAAAAATTTTAAGATATTTAAAAACATATTAATTCTAACAATTAGATTAACTTCATGTTAAAAAATATTAAAATAGAATAATATTGATAATTGATATAAACTATGGATCACAGAATAAGGACATCATGTCAAATTTTCTCTTTGTTATTTTCTACACTTGTTGAGGTATAACGGTCCCACTGATGCTTTTGAAAGACAACAACTCGTGATCGTCCATCTTTCAAACCTCTATTCAATCGGACGATCACCATCGATTCTAAAATCCCTTTCTTTTATTTATTTATTTATTTATTTATTTATTTATTTTTATTTAAAGAAAATCTAAATTTTCAAACTTTGTAACCCCAAGACCCAGCCTATACGATACGTCCAAATCTAATGGATTACAATATAAAACCATTTTCAAATCATTTTCAACACTTTTAAAAAAATACCAATCTCTTTTAAAACATATTTACATCGGGAAAACCCAAACGAGTAATATAAAATATGAAATATCACCAGTGAGATAGAGTATTCATACCCAATGACAAGATTAATACTTATATAAGAGGTGATAGGAAATAGGCCATAAAATCAGTGTATCAAAATATCAGGCTCATGTCTCCAAAAAAAGGCGATGAAAACATTACAACAAAATATATTGTACGGAATGTGTCGATCCTCCAAGTGCCGATATGAGTGCCTATTCAAAATATATGAAAGGGGGAAAATGGGGAGTGAACTAGGGAGCTCAGTGTTTCTAACAGCGCAAAGTAAAACATACATATAATTTTTTTAAAATAATTTTTTTGTAGAGTATCATAAGAATATGAGTGATGTTTTTATTTCAAAAACAAAGAATTACACTCCAACTAAACACCAAATACACTTCCCCAAAATTCTAAAATTGTATCCATAAGGACTTATCCTAAGCCCAAATGAACTACGAGCCAACCTAAGGGAGTACCTTGGGTCCATAAAGACTTACCCTAGTCGAAGCGTAGGAGCCATCTGAGGGGAGTGCCCATGGGTCCATAAGGACTTACCACAATCCACAAAGCAAAGGAGCCACCCTATGAGAGTGACATAGGGTCCATAAGGTTTTACCACTAGGCCCATTAGGCCAAGGAGTCCACCAAGGGTCGTCTTAGATCCATAAGGAATTACAAATTTAATAAGAGCTGAACCAACAAAGCTTCCAGAGTACATCTTGGAATTTCCCCAGTGAAAACAATTTCATATAGTACTAGTAAATCAGGAAATCAGAGGCAAGACATTTCTCAGTAAACAATAACTAGAGAACATGTATCAGTCAAACTGGAATTTAAAATCATTAAAATAGATATCAAGTATTTAGAAAATCAATAAACCAGAATTAGACTTTTCAGTCATTTAAATCGATCATGTTTCAAATCAGATAAAACATTCATGTGCGCATGTTGATTCATACAGATATTTAAAAACATATATGTAGCACACAAGGAACACACCTTGCAAAATGGGTCGGGTTGAGAGATCTACTGAACACTGGTCTCACTACGAACAAAAATAGTACACAATTCTAAATCAGATCAGAAAAGTGCTATTATCAAAATAATATACTGAATAGAGTATTTAACAAAGTTATGAAATTACAAAAGAAATCAATGCTCACATTGTCGGACGAGACGAGAGGAGTTGGGCTGGGCATTCGACGGGTCAGAAGAAACACGGGTACCTATCATAACCAAGGTCATAAATCAATCCTTGTCTTTTCCTTATTTTTCCTTAAACAATTTAATTAAAGTAACTATATAAGTTTGGGTTCGGAGGTCAACTTAAAGGTTTTTAGATTAGAATTTGTAAAAATTGACTTCGAATTAAGACTTAGGAAGTCGAAAAACATAAAATAGATTTTCTTTAAAAATTTTAGTTTTTTGGTCAAAGTTAACGAGTCAGGTTAATGGTCTAGGTCAACGGGTTGACTTAATCAGAACGGACTCGGCTGACTCGACCATGTTGACTCAATTTTCCAAAATATTCTATACAAACGATGCCCACGCGAGGTTACAGTGCATGCGGTGGGCCAAAGGGATGGGGACGACGGACGAGCGCTCGAACAACAACCAAACATCAATATCAACTCGATACAAATGTAAAAAATTCAACCAAAACACGAATAAACCGTCGGAAAAATAAATTGAGACTCACCCTTCACTGCGGACGGAGGAAATGGTGACAGGAGGGAAAGATATCGATTGGGTTTTGGCCAGAACAGGTCGGGGAACTCGATGGTTGTGGCAGTGAGGCAAACCGACGACAAAATCAGCTGAAAGGCACAATAACAGTGGCGGGGTTGGGGTTTTTCGAATAGATTTTTCTGACTAATTTACGGTGAACGACAACATTATCCGGGGCAAGGTTGGTCGAGTTTTGACCGGGATGGGACGATAAGTCGAATGGCGGCGGTGACGCGACCTATGAACGCTCACGGTGGTCTAAATCGTGAAAAAAAATAACGGTGGGTTTCGACGGAGCTTCACCGAGTTTTCCATGTCGATTGGCGATGGTTTTCGATGAATAAGAGGAGGGGTTTTGATCGAGGAACGGTGAGGAACGTCGTGGTGGTAGCGGTGCACACCACTGCTGGCTGAAGGTAAATGAACGTCGACGGGGCTTGTGCTTTCTACGAAAAGGGTTCTCACACGTAAAAAGTGAAGGACAAACAGGATGAGGGGGATTAAAATTGGGAATTAAGGGAAATGAGTAATTTTTCAATTTAAGTTCTTTGACGAAAAGAAAGTTTGCATAACAGATCTCAAATCTCTAAAATTTCACAAATTGGTCCCTTGAAGGAAAGATTACAAAAAAAATTATTAATATAAAATTTTCAGGGTGTGACAAACTTTGACTGCCATGTTGTCACTTCAATTGAGGCACTCTTAGTTGAAAATCGACTTTCACCGTTAACACGAATTAAGTGGTCTCCGTGATTTGTTATTCTTTGAGGATTTGGGTTCGAGCATCATAAATGTTAGGAGTGTAAATATTCAATGTAAAAAGGTCAAAAGTTTTTTTTTAAATAGATACTACCATAGGCTAATAAAAAAAAGAAGACTTTCACCATTAATTTACCCTTTTACCCCATCATCTTTCAATATTGAGTAAACTATTTAATTATATGGTCCTACTTACTTACACATTCTATCAATTTAGTCTTGATTGTAATTTAGAGATAAATGCCATCATTTTATTAAAAGATAAATTTATTGAATTTAATTAAAATTTAGACCAAATTGATAGAATATATAAATAAAAGAACCATATGTGTAATTATATCATTTTTTAACTACTATGTCGCCCTCAATGTTTAATGTTAACGAACAATGACTTGATTGATATAATTTAAATAATTAAATATGTCTGATCGATAAAATTAAAAGAATAATGATTACATTAAAATCTTTCATAACTAATTCATAAGGAAAGTAATTTACCCTTTACTATTTTCCTTCTTTTTATCTTTTATTTTACCTTTAAGGATTGTGCTCGATAACAATATTTTTACGGACTTACCACTACATCCAAATATTCAATAAGAATGGAGGACTAAATTGAAGAAACTGAGAAATACATGTCAGATATGTGATTTGTGGAGCTTGGGATATTTTTGTAGGTTTATCTTACTGAATCAGTGTATAGTTTATGGAGTTGTCAGCCTTGAAACTTAAACATGAGATGGGTTGTTTTACAGTTAAAAATGTTCTAATGATTAGCAGACACAACTTAAACATAGCTTCTGGAATTTGTATATGAGATGGATTGTTTTACAGTAAGAATAAAAAGTCTGAGCAGTCGGTTTAAATTTAGCATTTTTTTAAACTTAAAAATTAATTTCACCAGATTTTAAACTATATTTATATTTTTATATAACCAAAGAATAATTTTATTTTTAACATAATTAATAATCTTTATATATATAATTTCTTTATATATAATCATTAAAATTTAATTTAATTATTAAATATAAAAAATAAATATAGCTTAAAATTATAAAAATTTACTTTTATTATATATATATATATATATAATATTGTAAATTTTAATTGAACATAGGGTTTGGTTTAAGGGTTAAAGTGTTTGTATTTAGGGGTGGTAACGGGGCGGGGCGATGACGGTTTTGCATTATTTATTCTGTCCCCAACACTTGCGGGTACGGTTTTGGAGAATCCCCATTATAATTTTCGGGATTTTTTTTGTCCCCATACCCATCTCTTACGGATCTCTGCGGGTTTCGGTTAATCCCCATCTCAAAAAATAAACAAACATTTTTTAAATTAATTCAACACCTAAAATTTTTAAGATATATCATATTGTCTTAAATTGGTCTCTATCTATAATATGAAATTTTCAAACTTTAATATTCATCTAACACTCAATGTATATATACAATCTTTACTATTTTCAATCTCAACAAATCAATATATATTAAATGAGAAAAGATCTAAACTTCAATTTTAGTTCATTTGAGATGTAACAATGACAACATATAATTTCACGGATATTTTTCGAGGATCCCCACGATTATTTTTTGTAAAATATCGGGGATCCCTATGATTATTTTTTCGGGGATCCCTACAGTTATTCACACGGGTACAATTTGATTTTCCTCACGGTTCGGATATAGCAATCATCGTCCTCATCCTCATTTCTGTAGATGAAGATTTCAATTATTTTCTATCCCGTCGATTCGGATCCCCACAATTTTCGATTTTTCTCCACCTATTGCCACCCATACTTGTATTCTCTCTTAAATTCCCTGCCATTAGTTATAACCTATTATATATAAAATGTAATTGTAAATTGTAATTAATTGAGGTGTTTGACCTAGTGGTTTAGGCGTACCTAAGATTACTCTAGGATACTTACTGTAGGACACTAGTTCAATCTTCCATGGAAGCATCATGTTTTAATGTATTTTGCTTGGATATAAAATAAAATAAATAAAATAAATAAAATTTAAAAATATCATTTAATCTGATTAGATTGTAAAATGTGTCACCATATAATTAGAAATTAAATTTATTAAATTAAATTAAAATTATTTCCAAATTGATAGATAATATAAATATTAAAGACCAAATGTGTAATTACACTAATTTTATTAATTACTATGTCAACACTTTTATTAATTATTAATGACAAAAATGTAATTAGGTGGTTTTACATTATAGTTAAATAAATTTTAAAAAAATATTTATAATAGTATTATAAAAAGTAAATATATCATGGGTCATTGTTTTATGAGTATATTTATAATTAGGTCATTATATTTTTAAAAATTACAATCAGATGATTTTATTTTACCCATTATAACAATCAAATAATTTTTAAAAAAAATTACAAGGCGAACATTAAAAAAAATCATTTCCACCTTATTTTCGATTTTGTAGCTCTTGGATTAGTGATTAGAAGTGTTGAAACAAAAAATTTGAACTCTGGGAATCGAAGGATTTAATTGCAAACTTGAAATCTCTCCATGGCCGCCCCTTTTTATTCTACTCCTTTTCAACCCTACGTTTATCAGGTAACATTTTTTTGGGCCTTTTTCTAGATTTCTTCTTCTTCTTTTGTTTTTTGTTTTTTGTTTTTTGTTTTTTCTTGGTTTCGCTCTGTCACTGATGTTCTGTTTGTTCCATGAGAAAATTGAAGTGAAATCAGAAGAAAATTGAGCTTTGTTCCTTTGGGCATGAAATTATCGTATTTAGGCACTGCTTCGGCGTTTGATCTGTTATGAGTTTGTTTTTCTCGCCTTGTTGAAGATATTTACAAATTGGGGTTTCCTTAAATAGAGTTGACTTTGACCCTATTTCTTTTGAAATTGATCTGTTTATAATCAAATTGTATGTAAAATAACTTTATAATCAAATGGTGAGAGCAGAGTAGAGAGAATTAATGGCAAAGTCGGGAAATGGAAATATTTTTTTCAGCTTTTCTTGTAGAGGAAATTAGTGGAACTTAGACTGTTAATATTGTGTAATCCGAATGTGTCGGCATGAATACATAAACATGACACCCATAACAATATCATGTTGGTATAAAATTGTGTAGAGTCAGCAAGATGCTGTGATCCCATTTCAAATATTGGGTGGTGAGGCTCAAATTGTTCAGGTACTTCCTAGCTTTTTATCTGGATCTTTTTAGTGCTTACGCTAGTAATGCTGTCCCTATGATTGTAAACTCTTTTTATTTATTTATTTATTATTATTATTTTGCATTTTTGGTTCTTTAATTTACCAGATAATGTTGAAGCCACAAGAAAAGGTTGTTGCAAAACCCGGTAGGTTGTTTTGCTCTCCCCACTAGTTTAATGTTTTAATGTAGGAAACTAGGAATTAGGGTCTTGATGCATCTGTGATGTATGCCTTCATCATAGTTCTAGTAGTCTGGTAATTACGCACAGATGTACAGTTGTCTGCTTATGAATGGGCGAGGTTTGTTGGATTCTGTGCTCTCAGCCCTGATTTTTTCTACAATTTAAAAGGCTGTCATTTTATATTTTCTAGAATTTATTGTACTACTAATGGTATGGTGTTTGGAAGTGTCAGAGGTACTACTGTACTATCAACGTAAATCATCTCTTCTTATGCCTTTGTAGTTTCATATTATTTAGTCATCAGATTCTTATGAATTAGTTCATCTGCTGAACATTAAGGAACAGTGCTCAGTTGATAAAATGAATTGTTTCCTGCATTAGTTACTGTTTGTTATCATGAAAACTTCATATGCAAAACTGCAAAGGAATTGACAGAGAAAAAAATGTAGGATCCATGTGCTTCACGTCTGGGTCCATTGAAATGGAAAACACTTATGCCCCTGAAAATGAGGTAGGCATGTGGCAGTGGTTTTTCTGAAAGGGTATAATTAGTATTGCTCTTCGCAACCCTGGTCCAAATGATGGGTTCGTTGGAATTGCTGCACCTTCTCTTGCAAGGATTCTTCCGGTTTGTGTTTTAAACTCACTAGATGTCAACAATTTTTATATTTATATTTATAGAAGACGGTGAATTTGAGTGCCTCCTGATTCCAGAACTGTCACTTTGTTGTGACTAACCGTTGGTTTTCGATTGTTTTTGGTTCATGCTTATTTGACAGATTGACTTAGCAATGTTTGGTGGACAGCTTTTATGTCAGGTAACGGACTTGTTAACTACTGATTTTACTTTTATTTCCTAGTTGTTTACCTTTCTCCTTCTCATTTGAAGTTAAGGACTGCAATAACTGGCATGGAGATTTGTTTTTGCTGCATGATTAGCTTGGATTTCATTCCATCGACTGGAACTTTTACGTGACCTTGTAAACTTGTATTGTAGCCAGATGCGTTTCTTTGCTCCATCAAAGATGTGAAAGTCAGTAATACAATTGATCAGCGGGCGCGGAATGCTGTAACTGGTGTGGAGGTGACATAGTGATGACTCTTTTTTGCATTCTCCCTTCTCTTTGATTGATTCTCAATCTGTGTTTTCAAATATCATTTTCTGACATGTGTTTCTATTTCTTTGGTTTATTTCTCGAACTTTTTAAGCTGTTTTTATCTGTTTATTTGATGGACATTGTACTGGCATGACAGGGATTTCTGAGACAGAAGTTATCTGGACAGGGTCTTGCGTTTATCATTGCTGGTGGTTCTGGTATTTATCTTTAT